TTTTTTTTTTAAATGGGAAAAGCATATCTTGGGAATCCCAAAGCAATGTGCAGGCTCCTGTTTTTGTGCCGTCTATTTGGGTGTGCCGATGTAAAATCTCTTCTACCTTTGCTTGCCACTTCATGCATTTATTTTCACTTCAATTTCTGAAGCAGTGACATTGTGCACTGTATTTTGAGTGCTAATGTTGATTGAAGTTCTCCCTGAAAGGATGTGCACTTGAACTGTCACGCGAGTGAATGATTGACAGCAGGTGGAAGTACTTTTTGTGTCAAGGCTTTGTCAACTCATTGTTGTAAAACCCACTTTGCTGAATACCAATAATTCCTGCTGGATGTTCCATCAAAAGATACTCTGCTCCAGCACCATTTTAGAATCACGTTTGATACGTCGAGCCCTTCCCTTGTATGGGCAGCCATAAGGTGGGGGAATAACGGTGCTTTGCACTAGGGCCCGTTTGGGGTTTCTCTGTGCGCGTATTTGCAGCCTCACTTGAAGGAAGAAAACCCTCTTTTCATTCCTCTGTACAGCACTGAGATGGTCTGAATGTGAGTTTGTTTAGTAGTGTCTTTATAACTGCTTATTCAGCACGTGTTCCATTATAGAGATGTACAACAACTCACAGCTGTTGATTCCCCCATCCCCTCCAGAATATTTCCTTTTTTTCTATGAATACATACTTTAAATAATTTTATGATTATTCCAGGGATGTTAAAAAGTCTAAACATATGTTTAATAATCAGAGAAGCTTGGTGTACTTAAAATCGCTTTCACCTTTGGAGGAAACCTGAAATGTTGCATACCCTTTTTGAGTCGATGCTTTTTTCCTCCTTATGTCAAAAAGCTGTGTGAGTAGAATTCCCCCTTCTGCTTTTTGAAAGGATAAAGTGGGCAAGGCCACACCGCAGGGCATGCAGAATTGGACTGAGGCCTTTTGTTGCAGGTAATTACCATCTGAGGCTACCAGATAGCCGGAGCTGTGTGAGCACAGCGCTGAGGAATTGCCATCTAGAGCTTTTTGCCAGAGATCCAGGATCTTTATTTGGCTTGCAGGACGGATTCAGTTTTTGGTTACAGAACGAATTTTAAGACAAGTTTTTAATCCAATAGGAAGGCTGAAAGTTGCTGTGCGCTCTGCTCTCACACCGTATGATATCAGAATGTAACAGAAATGATTTCATTTCAACCTGCTTGGACAGCAAAAAGAATGCAGTTGTTTGGTCTGAAAAAACTCCTGCGACTTCACAAATGTCAGAAATGCTTTATTGCTGTGGAGGTGCATGAAGAGCAGCAACTTGGGAGAAATGAATGGAATGTCATTTCATGGATAGAAACTGGAAAGGCTTCGCTCTGTGACAGGGGCTGGTTGGCAGAGCAGAGGTGCTGCGGGTAAAAAGCAAAGGCAGGCAGGAATGTGTTGGTTGGATCTGGTGAGTCCTCAGGGCCTCTGGAAAACGTAAATCTGAGAAACAAAATTATGTTAAAGTTTGGGAGTTAGTGACATGGCAGAAATAAAGCTTGCAGTACCCAGCCTATGGATATGTTCTGCCCGTGGAAACACCATGGGTGTTTGTTTTGGGAAACATTTGTAGAACAAATGTAGGTGCTACAGCTGTCCGTTAAAACACATCTCCTGATGGTCTGAGGTGGGAATGGAGAAACAGCTTTTCACGTTTCATTCTAACGGCTCCACTGATGGAAGGGAGGAGAGCCAAGCACTGTGCTGCTCCTTTCCCTTCAGGGGCCCAGTTGTGTTCTGTGGGGCTGCGGGGTGCAGTGAGGCTCGTGTGTGGTCCAATGGATGGTAAGAAAAAGAAGATGGTTTCTGTAGTTGAAGAAGAAATGTTCAGCATTTGCTTTAAACAAGTAAACAATGTGGGAAGTCGGGGAAAAGTCTCTAATATGCGTTGTTGTTTTCTCTTGACTTCAGGTCGTGAAAGGCCTTACGTATTTATGGAGTCTAAAGATTTTGCACAGAGGTGAGTAACAGATGTTGTCCATTTTTTGGTCCTGTTTTAACAGCGCTTTCCACAGAAGCAGCAGACCAGACTAACATCTGATCTGATTGCAGTGGGGTTACACAGAGTGAATCTTATTCATTAGCCTTGCAGATTCACTGATTGAATGTTTTTACCACTGTTCTCCTTCATTTTCCTTCATCTTCTCAATAAGGGGAGAAATGGATGTTGTGGAGACTGAAATGCTTGTGGTTACACACAGGTGCCAAATGGAATTCTCAAAATCACCAGCGATCACCAAATGCTTGGCTTGCGAAACAAGAAAATAGGTGTTGAGTTTTCTTCCTCTGTGCTTCAGAAATCTTGCATGGCATCCACCAGTACTGATGGGTGTCACACTTCTAAGATTGTCACCCGTTTGTCCTCTGCAGTGGCCGTGTATAATTACAGAATCCTGCTTGGGCATAACAAGCCATTGGATGCCTGTTCTCCCAGAGCTAACTTGTATTCTTTTTACAACCGAATTTATTTCTTGCTCTTGATTTTATTTACGAAAATAATATATGGGGCTGAGGTTGAGGTTTTTGTCTTTTTTTAATGTGTGCTCTAAAAAGAGTGCAAAATGCTGTTTAAAGAACAAAGAAGCCCTTTCTCCCCCGCTCTTCTCCCCAAATAAAAAAGGAAAAGAGAAACTCATTACATTTATAATGTTTCTAAAGTGTCTGAAAGTAACAGCTCCAGCTCCTAATGTCACTAACAATACTGTTTAATTTAACCCATCTGCTCTCTCAGCCCTTGTGCACAGTTGGAGCGTGCAGTAACCGACATCAGTTGTGATTGAAGGAGAAGTGTAAAGCAGGGAGACAAGCAGAACAGTTCAGATTGGGAACCAAATAGGTGAGGAAGACTGTTTCCTCTGGGGGTGTCCAGTTCTGCAATGCCTGAGAAGAAGTTAATAGGAAACCCTAATTACCACCAGGCATTGAGTTTCTGCCCCACCTCAAAGCTTTGGCTGCTCCTGTATTTAACCTTGGATGTCCCTGGATTAAAAGAACAGAAATAACCCAGAGACCGTGGCCAGCTGAGTGCAGACACGCTTTCTGGTGCTGGTTTAAACATTGGATCTATTAGCCTGCCTGTCGCCAAACACTGTGGTTTAACAGCTCCATCTACTCCAGGCGAGGGGACATCCATTCTGGATGGCACAGCAAATGTCAGAATGAGAAGAACAGAAAGGGGAGCTGGAACATCCGTGGATGGGTGCCACGCAAATTGGGCAGCGCAGTCCTTTGCCACGCTTCTACAGCACCTGAAAAGGAAAAGCTGGTTTGAATCTTTTTTTTTTTTTTTTTTTTTTTTTCCTTTTGCTTGAATGTTTTTCATTAAGGGCTGTGGCCACCTGCTGAGTCTGATTTGGAGGAGCATTGTGGTCAAGCACAAATACTGTCACTGTAATGTCTCACAGTTTCTGTTGTAAGTTTAGAGCTTGAGCCTGATTTTTGCTTCTCAAGTTTTCCCTTCTGTGTGTGGCTTTCATTGCCTTGATAGAGAGCAGCTCTGAGTTTTTAATGAATTATGTATGATCCTCGCTGGCCTGAAGAAAAGTGCAGAAATGGTTCTTCCATCACAACTGAGGTTTTTCTGGCCTTGGTCTGTTTCTGGGTTCACCGAGATGAGAACAATATGCAAAATGCCTAGAAGTGTCCAACAGTGTTTATTCAGGGGCCTGTTTCAGTGCACTCACACATACGTGTGCTTTCCTGTCTCACCAGAGAGTCACTGCATGTAATGCAGTGCAAGGGAAACACCAGTTGGTCACGGTAATCTCCTCCAGCTCTTTACTGGTTTTAACGCATCAGAGGTGAAAGGGGGAAAATGGAACTCAGTCTTCCTTGTTGTCACGTGTCAGGCAGGCTGGGCAGGATGCTCAGGTGGGGTAACAGGTCCAGAATTCCACGATGGTGGTGACTGAGGTGCAGGAACAGTCATGGTGAGGAAGCTGTGCGATGCGGTGTGGCAAACGGCGGTTTGTGACCAGAGCACAGATTAAAGGAAGGAAACACAATGAACGAGTCTTTTATTCCAGATCAGACATCTCAGCAAATATTACAGCTTAACTTCAAAACGTACCTTGCAACTAATGAGGTGATAGCCGTGCATATTAATAAATGCAAAGCTGTAGTCGTAGCCATCGCACCCACATCAAACGTAAACGGGAGATTAACACCTACACTGCTTCTTTGGAAGATGTGAGAATGTCCCAATGATAAGTGTGCTCTTTTCCCCAGAGGACAAGAAGTAGAAATGGAAGGGTAATGAGAAATTAACTTAGATTTAAAACAGAATTAGCAATTAAACAAGTCTAATCACGTACAAAGTCAAAGTTTGTATAAAGACAAACCGAAATCTGTTAAGTTCAAGAATAAGTATAGGCCGTATGCATTTCATCTGGTGTGTTTTTCTCTCACCTTCTTATTAAAAGAGATGTTTGAAATAAGTGTTACCCACTTGTGTTTAATTGTACCAACAGGCATTTGTGTGCACATATGTGGACTGGCACACGCGCTGGTCTTGGGACTGCAGCCTGTGAGCGTATTCTAAGTGTGTCAGAGTAGATGGAGGTGTGTTCTGGTTTGTGGGGCTGAGCCCACGTTGGTGAGAGCTGATCAGCGTTAGCATCGCATATAATGAAGCACAAGCAAAGGTAATGGGGCACTTGTGTGTGCACGCACAGACCGTGTGCACACGTGGCTGTACCCCTGTCTGCACGCTTACATGTTGCTTGGACTCAGTTCAGAAAAATAAAAATCACAGCAAAAAGTGCTGCAGAGGTCATTTGGCAAGAAAACATTGGAAATATTTTCATTCTTTCAGCAGCTTCACTTTGTTCACAGTAATGTTCTGTGGGCTGTCCTCGGCTAAGATGGCTTTTGTATCTGGTCTCCCTTGAACCTGGCATATTGCAGCCTGACGTGAGGAAAACGCTGAAAGTCAAGAGACAGCTTTTAGAAACCTGTGGGGTGTTTTTTTGTGGGTTTTTTTTTTTTTCCTACAATCATAAATCCGTTTTCTTTTCAATGAACCAAGATGAGGGAAATGTCGGGTGTTGGCAAAGCTGAAGCTCTGACGCGTGTGTTTATTGGTAAGTAAGAGCTTGGAGGTCCCATTTATCTGCAGAGGTGAAATGACTTAGATCACAAAGAGAACTTGTGCATCCTCCATAATGATGCTTTGTAGAAGTCATTTGTATGAAGCAAGCACTGGTAATGGCAGCATAATGACCCCTTTTGGCTCTTGTTTAAATTCTTTCACTTCTAAACAGTAATATTAATCACAAGCAGATGGTGCAGAACATTATTTATGCACATTTGTTTTCCAAAACCAAAAAATATTTAACCCATTAGCTGAAGTGTTTTATGAACATAAAGGCCAATTTACTGATGGGGTGATTATTCTTCCTCCTTCCCTTCAATGTGAGTTACTTTACAAAGTGGGTTGTCATTTGGGTTGTCATTTCCTTTTTCTTTTTTCTCAAAGATACCGGCACAACCGTTGGAATTTGTAGCAAACATTTGCTCACGTTCTCCATTTGTGGGGCTGCGTAAACTGTGCTGCAAAGACCGGCACGGTTTGTTCTCAGCAGTGCTTGTTTGGCTGCCATTGCTCTGCAGGTCCCAACCTGCGCTGCCTTCGTTCATCCCTAATGGACTGATTTCCCCATTGCTTTCTTTCTCTTTTAGGATTTTGTGGTTGTTGTTTTGTTTTATTTATTTTTAGTGAGGGGGAGGATTTTTGGATCAAGCGACGCGTAATGAATGACAGATGGCCATTCAATTAAAATTATATCGACTTACTGTCAGGTGCCGTGTGTCAGGGGTGGGGAGGTGGGATCTGCTGATCCCCCATGGCACGAGGTGCTGGCTCTGGGGCAGGGGACACACGTGCTCAGTGGTTTCCTCTGGGCAGGTCGTGTTAAGGGAATGAGAGGTGGGAGAACACCCTGCCTCCTTCTCACACCCAGCCGAGCAAACCCCTTGGAAGCAAACCTTCTGTGGGGTTGTGGCGTTTTGTGCTCAGAGCATCCTTCTGTCTGCCCAGACCTGTGCTGAGCAGAGGGAGAGGATTGCTGTGCTGTCAGAAAGCGATGCTGTGTCCTTGGGAAGGTCGGCTGGGATGGCTGCACACCTCGCAGTGCTCAGGGTGAGCGCGGGGCCCACTGGCATGCTGTGCCCATCCCATGGCACTCAGCAAAGCAGCTCAGCAGGCACGTTGCCTGGAGGTTGCCATAAGCAAATGTAAGAGTCTTGAAGCTTCGGTTAGAAAGAATATTCCTAAAACATTGGTACATGTGCAGCAGTTTGGGGCCGTGGATTGCTCTGTAGCAGTATTTTGCCTCCTCACCTGCAGCTGGAGGGCAGGTGATCGTCTGCCAAAGACTGGTGCATGGGTGGCAGTGCTGCAGTTGAAGCAGAGTTTGGCACACCCAAAGCTGTGCCTGCTGTCGTGCATTGGAGGCACCCAGCACTGCTTTTTCCTTTTGGCTCTGGGAGGAAATTGCAAAACGTACTTTGAGTATTGATACCGAAATTAAACGTGCAGATCCTGTGAAGCTGAGTGAAGTGTTATTGAACGCTCCCCCTTTTTAAAGTGTTTTTTTAGCTCAAATATAGGGAAGCGTTTAATCAGCTTGCTAATTGAGGTTATACATTTTTACATTACAGGGACAAATTAAGCGAGCTACTGTGGTACCAGAAGACATCTGCTAAAGAAAGGCAAACTTAATGATAAACCAAATTAGGTTCTTTCCTAGTTGGGTTTCATCCATCTGCACCCAACTAGTGTTCTCTTTTAAAGAAGGCAGGGAGATGAGTGGCTGCATTTAACCCATAATGACAGAAGAAGGCAGCAATTAGGCTGAGCTCTCATCTTCCCTTGTGTAAGCCTGGCCATACCATGCATGCTGCTGTTCTCATGGTGTAGCCTGGCTGGGTGCTTAGTGCTTTATTTGCACGTTGATTTTACAGTGTGCAACAGAACTTCTTGTACATCAGAGGGGGTCAGTGATGGGAGCTTTGCACTTACAGTCTGGTTTTACGATGCACATCTGTTCCTGTATATCTATATGGGATTTTTAGTGTTTGATTTTCTCCCTTGCATCGTCTTCTCCTGCAGCCCCAGCCCAGGCAGTGGATTGTTTTGATTAATCCTCGTCTAAACGTAGTGCTTCCACTTGTGGAAGTGATTCCCTATTGAATTTCAGCGTATTTTTTCAGTCTCATTTGTCAGGATTGCTTTGAATTCCAGATCCCATCCTGCAGAGCTCAGGTGGCCCCTTCCCAGCTGGTGTCACCTGCAGCTTCAATAGCACGGATTGCTGGTCTTTGGGGACAGGTGTAACGTCACCTGTGCTGATGACAGCTACGAACCAGAGGTTGCAATGGAAACATACCTTTGAAATGTTTTCTATTAAAATCTATCACGCCAGTGATGGTCACCCCAACGCCTGTATTGGAATCATAACCATCTCTGTACGCCTCCAGGATAACCCAAGTGACCTCTGGTTTTGTTTGGCAGACGTGAAGCCGTCCAACATGCTGGTGAACACACGAGGGCAGGTGAAGCTGTGTGACTTCGGGGTGAGCACCCAGGTAATCCATTGCACGTCTCATGCTGCAGTCACCTGGCTGCCGGGCGGGCAGCCCCCCTCTGCTGGGAGCCAGCCATTCAGCTCGAATCTCCGGGCGACTTTTCTCCATCTGAATATGATTGTTCATTGTTTAATGACAGTAAAAACTGCTGATATTGTAATTACTACTTACGAATAGCAAACTTCATTGATATGCAGCTTTGATATGAAAGCTTTTTGGCCAGACAAAAGGGAGGGCAGAACGAGAGATGTGTCTGGGGAGCCCAACTGGCCCACAATAAAAATTAATATTGGGAGTAACAATAGTGGTGGGCTTTTACAATGTGCAGCACAAATTTTAATTAATTTCCATTTTGGGCCTCCCTGGAGGACTTCTCTGCTAGTGACCCACGAGCTTGCCGTGCTGGTGATTTGAATTTCAGCACCTTTACTCTCAGCCAAGCGCCGGGACCAAAGAGAAGGTCAGCCTGGTATGATAAGTTGTCAGGGTCTGTTGTCCCTCCGAGCGCATTTAGTGCTGGTTGCATTCAAGTGATGAATGTGGCTTTATGCACATCTTGAGCCAGCTGACTGAAAAACGAGCGCCTTCAATCCTACGTCAAATTGACTTTTTATATCAGGCTGGTGTGGGGTACTAAAGCGATAAGCATCCTGTTTAACAGAATGGTTTAAGGTTATCTGCCATAAACGGTAATGCGGCACTTGTTTAAATGGGAGCTCCAAACAAAAGAGAGATTTAATCATTTTTAATGCCTTTGCGGATAAATTTGTTCCCTTTTACATAATTTTTAGTTGATTTATAGGGATGATGATTGTAGGTTAAATGAGGAATAATTGCCCATTTTATTTCCACATTATCTTTATATTGTTCTAACAGACTGTTTTGTCTGATAGCTGGTGAATTCTATAGCCAAGACGTATGTCGGAACAAATGCTTACATGGCGGTAAGTGGATTTATGTAGGAATAACATTTAAATACAAGTATTTGTTCACAGTCCTTTTCTACGTGGTGAGGATATATTCTAAACGGGCTCTCAGACCTCCTCTCCCCTGCCCTTGGTGTGATGGTGTGTCACAGAACATCTCTGTGCTCACGTAGCAGCTCAGTGACAACGGCAGGCCTTGCTGATATGGAGAATAGCATCAGAAGAGCATTCTGCTCTGCGTGTGCCTTCTGGTTGTCTTTCATGCACTGCAACAGCTGGGAACAAAGAGGAGAGCCAGTCCAGCACTGAAAAATGAATAGATGCAGCTTTCCCTCGGGAGCCCGTAGGTCCTTGCAGAGCGCTGATGGTGTTACTGTGCGGAGAATGGGGCCCGCTGTGCTGAGCACTCAGATGTAGTCAGTGTCATGGGCATCTCTGATACCTGCACACCTGTGTGGCTGTTTCCTATGGGAAACTGCCATGTGCAGATTTGAAGTTTGCATGCCTGGGCTGATAATACCAGGCCGCTGCCCTGCGTGCTGGGTGGTGTACCTACCATGTGTCAGAAGGCATCAGGGCCTTTCACTTCTCTGTAAGCATCTTAGTCCAGGAAATGCTCACTGCACGAACATGAGCATTTTTTGCTTTCCGTTCATCAGTGCCCTTTCTTTAATGCATGTGAGGACTTAAATGCTTCAGTTTAGGATTGCAGTAACTGTTGTCTTTTATTTTTTGGTCATGACAATTTCTTAATTGCCAACTACTTCTGTCATGGTATCAGTGGGGAAAAAGAAAATCGGCGTTCAGCTTGTTTAACAGCAAGCAAACAAAAAAGCCCACAGCACCAGAGTGCAGACAGCAGTACAAAATGGTTGATTCTTGTTTTTCAAACCTCGGAAAAGTGGAGAGAGAAATCCATGACCTTTAAACGCTTTCAGGTATTTTTCCTTACTTTCTTGTAAGGAGAAAGCAGCCCTGGGTGCCCATTTGTTTGCTAAGTGCTTTTCTAGTCAAGGTGTAGTCATTATGTGGCTTGTGAAACACTCGTGCCACCATCCTAGAAGGACTTGGGTTGTCCTTTGTCACTGGAATGCTACGTGCATCAAAATTGTTTTAAATAAAGAATGTCCTCATATATGTTACAGCGAGCTGCTGGTGTCTGTGCCTCTGTTCTCTACAGCAACTGCACCATTGTGCTGCAGACAAGCCAGCAGCATCAAAGTATTAACTTCTCCAGCACGGCTCTTGCTTTTAGAGTGGTCTTCAACAGATCTAATAATTAAATTGTATTATGCTTTCGCTGTGCTAATCCAGATTACTGTTCTCTTTCCCAGGTGTACATTGAATAGGTTACGTTTTTTCTTCTTTCTGGATGGCTGTGATGCATTCTTCTATTGATTGAGAAAGAAGTTTAAGCTCAAATGTATTTGATCTGACTGCCCATGTTAAAGTTGTTTTGCTAATGAAATTCATCAAATTCACAGTGTGCTCATCAGGAATGAATTTGAAACCATCAAAAATTAAACTATGTTTAAAATAAAAATGCGTTTTCTGGAAAAAAATTATTATTATTATTATATATTAATAACTTATTATTATTATTATTACTATTACTATTATTATTACTATATCTCCTACTAGGCACAGGGGAAAAAAACCAAACTTTTTAGGTGCAAAAGGTAACCAGAGGTAGAAATCTTTAGAATAAAGCTCTCTGAGCTCCGTATCATTAGGGTGAGCTGTGTGTTGCACGCCTTACTTTTTCCATGTGTCATTTTTGTTTCTGTCTTCTGCTCCAGAGTTTTACAAGAGAAATTCACGTCACTGAGCTGTTTATATTTGCTCACTGTGGTGTCCTTTAATGGGGGAAAAAAAAAAAAAAGATAAAATTAAATAAAACTCTTCCCCTCAAAAAAAGAAACTGGCAAACCAAAATTGATTAAAACCACCAAAAACAAACAAACAAAAAGACAATTTTTGTGGCTCATTCAAAAGCCTTTTGTTGTAGTTTCTCTTTATTTTCAGATGATGGCAGTTTTGGAAGGCTACCCTTGAAGGCAGTGTGGGCAATGCTGTTTTTTACTTAATGTTCACGTTGCAGTAAAAGCTGTTGACCTGGGATTAGTGGTGCAGAGCAAACATCAGAAAACACATTGGACTGGCGCTAATTTGGGAGTTGGTTTTCTAAAAAAGGTCTCTGGATTATTGAGGACTAAAAATACAGCCGGTGCTTTGTAGATGGTGGGGCTAGACAGGTGCATTAGCAGCACAGTGGGGAGGGAAGTCTCATGGAGCCTTTTATTGTTACATTTCCTGCTGCACTTGACCTTGGAAATGCTGAAATTGTGGCTTTCAAGTAAAAACTAGCAGTTACATCTTGCAGCCTTCTATTTCATGAAGCATTAAATTTGTTATTAATAGCTTTGAGTGAAGTCTTTTTTTCCACAGATCAAAAATGAAATTAGTTAAATATCTATAAAATGAAATGTCTGCCACGTGACTTCATTTATTACTTTGACTTCAATAACTTTGCCTTTTAAGCCATACTTTTACTGCCCAACCCAGCCTGAGGAGTCTGTTTTCCTGCTGTAAGCCTATCTCCACTGCGCCCAGGCTCACAGGTCGGTGTGTACCACTGATGGACTCTTACAACTTGGCCTCCAATGGCTGTTTGTTGGCTACAACAGCCCAAGCACAAATGCCAAGGCCAACCCTACAAGGTGCGTGGCAGCGCACGGCCGTGAGCCTGAGTGTAACCGAGCCCTTTGCTCTTGCAGAATCAAGGTGATAACAAGCTTTAAGATTCTTGGCATTTCATGAGGTGGTTTGTGTGCCCTTTTGTGGAAGGACCCTGGTTTGTTTGCTGGGCTCATAGTGTTCCTTTCCATCTCTCTGCAGCCGGAACGGATTTCAGGAGAACAATACGGGATCCATTCGGACGTTTGGAGTTTAGGGATTTCCTTCATGGAGGTATGTAAATGTCTGTCATTTGTGCACTTTGGGAGATTCAAAGGAAAATTAATATCAAACTGTTTTAATGTGGTCTTTGTATGCTCTTCTATGTATGCATGCTTTTAACTTTTCCTAAGATGCCTTTCTGTATTTAGAATGGATTTGTTCTTACCAAGGTCAGCAAGGTAGAGAGAGCCTCTGCAAATGTGCAGCATGGAGCCCACCACCAAATCTCCATTTGAGAGTGGAAAATAGGTCCAGTACAGGTGGCCTTTCAGCCAACAACGATGGTATTTCTGTATTCCAGCTTCATCAGGCAGGATAGAGAGGCCCACCGTTAGGGTTCAAATAGGGTTTGAGCTGTTTGATGCCCATGCAAAATGTTTAATCTGTAAAGCATTGCAGCATTCATGAATGCTTTTAGAAGGATTTTTTACACAGATAGTTTCGAACTGGAAAAGGTCTGATCAAAATGAAGCATTGGGATGATGGCTGTCACTGGCTGCTGCTTGCACAGATCCTTCTGTTTGCTCCTTCCCAACAAGCTCCTCTTTCCAACCACTGATGGCTCGTGTGGTCTCTTGTACAGCCTGACAAAAGTGTGCTCTGCAGTTACTGAGAAACACAGGTGCCATTTCCTTTCGTTAAGTGTAGCATCATTAAGGTGAAGTGCAGTGGACGTTTGTAGCAGAAAATGAGGTGGAGTTGTGTTGGTGCTGACCCACGGCATCTAGACAAGCAGCTTTCCTTATAGCACAGAAGTTCTCTATGGCTATTGTTGTGTTTTCAAACAACACATTCCTTGCCGCTTGGTTTAACTAAAATGAAAATATTTAATGCTGAATCATTGCATTCAGGTCTTGTAAATCTTCCGAGTCTGATTGAAGTTAACTCTGAATATAGGATAATGACACACTTGAAAGTGTCACAGGGGATGCGGCGCTGTTAATTTGTTTTACTGCAGATTTCAATGGACTGTGATACTGGAGAGTCCTCACAATTTTGGAGAGCTGCAGAACATACTCGCGCTGTCTGTAAATGAATCTGTGCAACAAAGGGCTAAAATGAGATTGTATTACATTCATACTTGACTGTGGTGTTCATTTTGAGTCACAGTGGAGTAGAGTGAGATAAATGCACGGGTGACGTGCAGCAGGTTTTACTGGTTCCTTTGCTGAGTGTATTGCTGAATGTATTTCCGTGTGCAGCAGCAATCCGATGGTCCTCCACAAAGACCAAGACTTTGGAGCTTAGTTAGGGGTTATTATTGGGCAACCTTGATGGTCGTGAGATTGATTTAAAGGATGAATTTCACAGCAACTTATGCAGCATTAGGGACACACAATGCATTTACTTTGTTCTCTTCTTTCAAACCTTCTCAACTTCTTTTTTTTTTTCCCCTCTCTCACTTCCCCTGGATGTGTCCTGAACCAGATGTACCAACCAATTTGGCTCTGTGTGCTTTGTTAATTGGTATGTCATCTGATCCTCTGAGACCTCTCTTCAGCGCCATCGCTCCTGTATTGAAGTGCTTTGAGTGATGTGTTAAATGATGAAAGCAAGGACAGTGGCTTAGAAAAATGTCGCAAAAAAGGTGAAGAAGGTGCTCCAAGAGCCACACAAGGTCACTGTCATTAAAGTAGCACTGTATTGACATGGGGATCGGCAGTGCAGGCGCTTGGGCTCTTGTTGATGGAACTGTTAAAATGGGAAGCTAGCATTTGCTGTAGGATTATAAAATCATCTCCGCTTGGTAGTGTGTTACTCCAATCCCTACAGCTTCAAGTTAATGCAGTTAGAGCACATTAATTGGGATGAAATGATATGTGGAACCAAGACAGCAAGGTTGCGAGTTTGCTTTGTTTTTTTTGCTTTTAAAACATACAATAATATAAAATAGCAGCCACCTAAATCTTCATATTTTCTTTAATCATCTTCTGAGCCTTGAAATGCCTTGAATTTCTTTGCTGCAATGCTATGTGTGCTGAGAAACCAAACTGTTTCTTCTGAATGTTCAGAAAACTCAGGAGCAGAGAAGTAGGATGTGGGTTGGACTGAAGTTTTGGGAGGCAGTGAGCATCTGCGTTCCTTTAGAAGTAAAAGATGTCCAAACATGTGCAGCTTTTTATTTTGCTTTGCATTTCTTTCTTCAGGACTGCTTTAAAGAGAATTAAATTTAATACCTGACCCATGGACCTGTTCAGAAATGTTTCGTCACCAACAGTTTGTGCGTTCCCGTGAGGTTGTTAGATTAGTTTTACTTAAGTGTTCTGGGATTGACAGAGCAAGTTCAATTTAAGCCAGTGACACTGCTGTCACTGCACTGAGGACTGCGTCAGCATTTTCATTATAAAAGCTGTGTTTCAGAGGGTTTATAACTCAGCCGTAAAATACACTCCAGGCTGAACCTGAGCGTTGTTTGTGTTCTGTGACTGATTCAGCCTCCTTCCAAAAAAGATGCCCTGCACGGGAGGATGGATGAGATGGCTTCATATTTCTTGTATTACCCTGATCCTGCCTTACGTGCCTGCTGTCTGGTGAATCCTTTTTCTTTTAGTAAACCTTCTTGCCTCCCATTGCCTGTGTGAGGGGACAGAGTTGGTGAGGAGGGCTTGGCTGGACCCTGGGCACAGAGGATCAGTCTCCCATGGAGCAGTGTGAGATACAGTGGTAGAAGGGAATCTGGGGGAGGGAGTAGGGTTGTGGTCCAAGCTGTTTGTTGAGGCATAGTGTAGGCTTGCATGGCTTTGTCAGGTGATCCAGGGCAAATGCAGCCAGTATTTTATTTAAATGCAGGAAATAAGTGATTTCCTTATGCCACAGATCAAAGCAGTTTTTGGAAGCAGAGTACAAACCCGTGTGTTTGAGTGACAGTGCCTTGTAAGAGCTTTCAGGGGCTGCTGGTGACATTTGTGTTAATATGCTGTTTTAAGCAATATTTCAAGCAGTCATATTACAGATTTATGGCATCTCAGCACTCCCTTAGGTAGGAACACTGATACATACCCAGCAAACACGCATCGTGTATTTCAGGTACACGTGTAGCTTTGGAGTTGGGAAGGCAATATTTGCCTCCAACACCAACAGACTGCTGGAGCCTGCAGCGCGCTTGGGCTGGGAGCACAGGTGGAGGTGCAAGAGGAGCACACGGTCCGTGAGCACACAGATTGGGGAACGTGTTTGAAGAGGGTGCTAGAAGGGAAGCAGCTCTGCTTGGCCATGGTTCTCTTAAAGCATTTCAATCTTCAAGATGTTTGACTGCAGGAAATTGGTATAAGGATGCATCTGTAAGTAATCTGGTCAAGGAGCAGAGGTTTCAGAGGGATTGTTCCTAAAGAGTCTGAGATGAGTGATCAGCCACATGTCATCAGCACGCAGCTGATGGTGGTGAAGGAGTCACGATTGTGAGCTGGTGGTGAGCAGGAGGTCCTGCAGACCATGGTTTGGTCTTCTGCAAGATTTCCCTTACGAATGGACATTACTCTGCAGCATTTTGAATGTGCATAGCGGAGTGTTCCTGATTTACACAGATAAATCCTTACACACGTCATTCAGCTGTGCAGGATGATGCAATTCAGAAACTTGCTCCTACGAGAAAGCTGGCCTAGGTGTTCTGGGGTGGGGTTTTTTTGTGCTGTTTCCCCCCACAGAGCTGTTTTGAGCCTTTTTCCAAACAGTGGCTCTTAGCCCGGTTCCATGCCTGCCGACTTCATGCAGCCATTGGGAAGAAGGAAGGCAGTGTCCAGCTACATCACCATTTTTGTGGCAGTGAAATGAGAAGTAGAAGGTAGCAGTGCCCGAGGGCTGGGTCATGAATTAATAATTGCTCTGTGGAGGAGGAGGCCCGTCAGAATAGCTGAAAACGGGGAAGTTGCCTTGCAGAGCGCTATCAATCACTCAGTGACCATAACTTCCAGTAATTAGTGTATTTTATGGGCCTTTGCTTCAGTGACTCGGAAGCACATATGCTCCACTCACAGCTAAACTTAGCCCAGTAATATTCCAGGATGATTTATCCGCTTGCTGCACTGGGATGTAACCCTATATTAGGTGAAGATTGTGAACTAAGCTGCAATAAAGTGTAAGTTTAGGTACAGTTTGCGTGGGTTGAGACCTCCATGTATCATGTTTCCCTGCAATTGCTCTTAGGCCACTGCGGGCAGTGTGTGCAGCGGCGAAATAAATAACGTGGAGTGAGTGGATGGATGGAGAGAGTCAGAGAACCGTTGGAGTTGGAAAGGCCCCCGAAAGGCCATCTGGTCCCACTCCCCTGCAATGAACGGGGACACCCACAGCTCCAGCAGGTGCTCAGAGCCCATCCCCTGACCTTGGCTGTCTGCGGGGATGGGGCACCATCACCCCTCTGTGCAGCCTGTGCAGTGCATCGCCGCCCTCACCGCGAAAACTTCTTCCTCATACCTGTTCTGGATCCCCCCTCTTTTAGTTAGAGCCCATTTCCCCTTTCAGAGGCTGTGTTTGCTCCTTTCCCCTTGGCAGCACCTTTGAAGCACCGCTGGTAAAAGCCCGCTCATCCGCAGGGCCGTGGAGGGGAAATGTGCCATTTAATCATGATTGCACGCAGCCTTCAGTACGCGGCGCATTCACTATGGCTCATATTTAAAAGAAGTCAAAGTGAAACTAATTATCTTTAATTAAGGTGAATTAGGCTTTGATTTTTAATATATTTTATGTAGAGAGATCCTCGAAACTCATCTGCTCACGCCAAGGAACGTCCCAAAGGTTATTAGGGCATATTTCTGGTGGGCCTGGCGGTGTCAGTAATAACCTCCTTTCTCATGGTTCCCGACACGAACAAATATGTCACTTCATCAGTCTCTGTTACCACACTTATGCCCCTCCGCGGGGGTCGCAGATTCCACAAGTTATCAGCTAATGGCGTTATACATTAAAAATTGAAGCTTTCCTCACTCCGAGGCCTTTCAAGGCTTTGTTCTTAAGCCCCAGACACTTTGGAGTGCAGCTGCAAACTATAGGCAGAAGATTAAATTAATTTGTAACTCTTTTTTTTTTTCGTCCTGCATTGCTAAATCCCGCACATTTAATTGAAACCCTACTTCAAGATGCTTTGTGTTTCTGTTCATCTTTGTTGTCAGTTTAACCTCAGAAGCACTTTAACGCTGGTAAATTGCTGTTATATCCTTTTGGATTTTCTCTTTTTTTTTTTTTCTTTAAACTGAGCAATGAGAGGACGGTAAAATTGATATTAGAAGGAACGAAAAATCTTGGAGTAGTTTTTGAGGTATTTAATATTTATTAAGGTCCGTACCCTGCAGAGTTCCAGGTGATTTTAAGCTGTCTATCTAGGAATGGATAAATTGGTCTTGGAAGGAAATTTCACCCAGGGAATTTGATGTTATCCAGTAGTTAAGTCTGATTTTAAAGTTTCCCATGTCTGAAGGTTCCGAAGTGATGGCAGCTTCTCCATAAAACGAGGGTTTAACTGCGGTGCACAATCTAAATGCAAAATCCTCAGATGGAAATTTAATTGTGCAAAATGTGCACGAGGTAATTAAGAACAAATTTTAGAACATTTCAGACCATAAAGTCCTCCTTCAGCTGGATCGCGAGCGATATTGTGAGTGCTTATTTTCAATTTGCAGTTATGCTGAGAAACATGGAATGTGTCTAAATTAAGAATGAAAGCATCCCGTGCTTTTCAGTGTCACTGTAAATTAAAAAACAACTCGCACAACAGAGTAGATACTGATAAGTGGGAAACTTTATTGCCCGAGTGCCCTAAAGATATGTTTTGGGTTTCCTTCCCTCAGTCCCTTTCTGAGCAGGACAAGAACTGCTGCTGCTGTAATTCTTATTAAGTGTGCAGGAAAGCAACGTGGGGAAAAATGGTTTGTTAGGAAGGATGTCTGGATTTCCAGTTTCAGCTCCAGAATGGTTAATTATGTTTTTCCAACAAGTCGTTTTGATTTTGTCTTCACTTATCTGCACGTTAAGTGTATGTTTTTAATTGCAAACAGGTTGAGCCTGGTTGGAGTTGTTTTCCAGCTCTTCTTACAGCTGCTCAGCACAAAGGCTTCAGGCACCTCCCTCTACCAGAACGGCCTTCACCCTGATGGTGAAGGGCTGGCTGCCCTGACCCTACCAAACACTGGCTGCCTCGTGGTTTTTGCTTTTCTTTCTACGTTCTTAACACATTTTGACCCAATCTGACCAACTGCACCTCTGCATTTTATTGGCTCATTTTGGAGTGTTTATGTCTCATTGTATCAGTTGCTGTTTTAAACCCTGATGGTGTTCCTCTGCACCTCCCTAAGTCCCAGCAAATGCTCCTATCAGGGACTGCATAGCAGAAATCATTTTTTAGGACACAACTTCACTGATCCCCATGAAGATGAGAGTTTGGAGCGCTCTGATTCTGATGGGCTACGTTATGTCTATGCAAGTAATAGTTAAAAGGAAAAAAATGTGCAGGCGTGCGGTTGCTCTGAAGTGAAATAGTGAAGGGAGGTGTTCCTCTGACATATTTCTTGCTGCTATGGTTTGATTCCTGTTTATATTTGTGTTCCACGCCGGCAGTGCAATTCACTGTGCCTTTTTAAAATGAGGTTTTTTACAGTCCTTGTGCAGTGTGAAGGGGCCCACGGGGAAATGAGAGGCAGCACCTCGGAGTCTGAGCGTTCCCTTCTCTCCTCTGTAATATCCAGAGCCACGTAAAGCAGCAGTCGGTTCCTGTCCCTAACTACTGAAAACTGAAATGTTATATTTTGGCTGCAGTGCCTTAAAAACAAAATTAGGAGTTCCCAAGTTGCCTCATGTGAATGCAGAGAAGTTTTTGACGCTGTTTTAACTTTGTAGTTTACGTTTTCTGCGCTCTGCTTTAAGCTGAGTTGCACATGTTTAAATGCCTTCCTGGAGTCAGGATGATGGAGGGTACAGAAATCCCTTTAGTAAAGCTCTAATCTGTTTGTTTTTGGGTTTTTCTTTCTTTGCTTTTACTGTGACACTATTTATAAATCTAAATCTACGTACAGAGGTCATTGGTTGGCTGAACTTAAACCATTTTACTTAGTAAATTTAATTAAGAAAATACAGTGCAACTCATAAGCAAATGAGTTTTTCCTAGTTTTAAACCAAACCACCCTCTTGAGTGCTGATTGCCTTGCTCGACCCCTGGTGATATAGAAACAGGCAAAATTAAAAAGGACATTAAAGCTTCATTAAATCTGAAACACATTTAGTACAGTGACATATCTGCAGGCTATTTCAGGGAAGATTACATACTCTTTGGTAAGTTTCTTAATTTATAATACCTTGACAATCTTGCAGGAGGGAAACAACTCTGACTGGATGGACTGAGGGATGGTTCTGGGAATGCAGAACTGCTGCTCGGCCCATCCGGGGCTGCATTGCTCCGCAGTTCTCAGGGAGCAGCTTCACCAAGCACTCTGTCTTTGTTAACAGCCCCCAAAGAACTCGTGCCCAATGCATTTTGGATTCTCAGGCTCATTTGCACGCTGCATACCTCAGTCTGGCAGAGAACTGCTCTTTCCTCAGTTGTTCAGTGGCTTTTGGAGTCACGTAGGCAAAGCCCTACTGTAACGTGGAGGTGGAGGTCAGGGGAAGGAATCATCCCTGAGGGCAGGAATGCTCAGTCTGCAGCCAGCATTGAGGTAGTGGTAGGTTTTCTGCTTAAAGGAGGTCTGCAGAACGATACCTTATGTGTAGAGCCACAATGATCTTGTTTTTATTTATACTGTGGGATAAATATGATGTGCCTACAAATCTGTAGCTGTTGTCATGACTGTTCTTAAGTCGGTAGTCGTTGGGAAAATTAAGTTTTCTTCTGGTTTTGTTTGTTGTAAAGTGTTTATTTGGCATTTATGGGTTTGTTGTTAGGCATTGGATGTTGCAGCAGCTGTGCTTTGTAGGATCTTGGGCAGCTTCTTGTAAGTTGAGGATGGTCCTCCCAGGAAATGAGAAAACGGAAAAGAGAATTGTTCTGTATGGGTTAGTGGCTTCTGATCCTTAAGATTGAGCATGACAGAAAACATAGGGCCTGCCTTTATCCTTTTAGCATTGTATTCCAAAGCCTGACATCAGAAAGTGACTGCCTGAGCTGGGAGAAGTGGAGAACCAGACAGCAGTGACAGAAGGGGAGCATCGAGTCTGCTCAGCTTGAATTTGTTTGCTGGAAGGGTGAATTTCCTACATGGAGAAGCTCTGAGCTCCCTGCTGCACAAAGGAATTCCTTTCTTTGGGTGTCTGTTGCATGCCTCTTAAACACTTCAGGTACCTACCCTGCTCCTGTCAAGTCTTTCCTCTGAGGATCTGGATGAAGTTTACTGAATTCTAAAGACTTACAGCCAAATATCCCATACAACATAGGCTTGGGTGGCTGCTGGTATGGCAGAAACAGCACCATCTCCACTGATGCCTGTTTGCTTCCTCTCTGCTGCCAGCTTCTCCTTATCGCCGTCTCATCACTCTGTACCTCACCAGGTGAGACTGAGTGATGTCTGCTGCTCTTTGCCCCACCACTTCCCTACCTTTCTACAGCTCTGCCTTATTGTTTGTACTTCAGTTGGTTCTGTGCTGCCAACTGGGCTGAAATTTCAGCATAGGTTGTATAGGCACAGCTGCCTCAGCTGCAATCTGCCTAGGTCAAATAACCCTGGCACTGAGGAGCTCAAATGACAGCAGCAGTACGGTGCTTTCCCCCAGCGCTGGCAGTACACAGCATGGCTGAGACCTTTGGCACTGATGCTGCAACTCGGTCTGAAGTGAGTATAGTTTGCCATGCAGACAAATCGATGATAGCATTGCATCCATAACCTCTGGGTGGATCACCTCCTCAAGATCACAGTATCACGGAATGGTTAAGGTTGGAAAAGATCCCCAAGTCCAACCCCAACCCATCCCACCATGCCCATGACCACATCCCTCAGTGCCACATCTCCATGCTTCATGGACTGTGACTCTACCACTTCCCTGGGCAGCTGTGCCAGTGCCAGTGCATGACCAAAGGTAACCCCCTCCTGAAGGAAGGGAAGGGTAAGTGCCAGTTAGCAGCGGTGTCATGAACCTACCTGCCTACAGCTCTTTTGTTGGCAGTGCAAGGACATGGGCTTCATCACAAAGCACATCAGAACACAAAGGTAACTGCCCACAGTGCACTTCTGGGGAGTCTGTGTCAACTGTGAAAGCCCACATCCTTCACTGGATGGTAGGCGAAACAGAATGGTTGTATTTTGCTGAAATTCTTTCAAAGGTTCAGATGCCAATGGGGGAAACCTAAACTCTTGTACCAAAGAAAGGGTTTCTCATGGACTGACTATTAGCTGTGGCATTGTGTCAGCGTCAGTGTTGTTGAGTCTAATAGCAGTACTGGCAGTTACATCAGTAATGCATCAAGGGATGATACAACCCGTGCTGTTCATATGGCGTGCAATGGAAAGTAGGTTTGAAGGAAAGCCCATGTGTTGTATTGCAGGTGCCACTTTCTCTCCAGATCTCACACGCAGGTTCCTAGCTGGGTTTGACACCGATAAGGAAAAAACCTCAGCTATGTAACCCAGATTTCACTCTGAGCTGGTTAGGGAAGGACTCAGGGAGTTCAGTGCATGCTCATTGCAGATAATTAGCAGGAAGGTCAGTGTCGGTGGCCTCGCTGCTGAGGCTGAACTGGTTTAATTTAGAGAGTCCTCAGGAACTTGGGCATCAAACAGAGTCGCTGAGTGGTACAGACAGAAGCTTGAGAAATACAGAAATATGCAGAAATGAAAAAAAAAAGGCTAATTGTTGTGAATGACTCCATTCTAAATGCAGCTCTTTGTGTACTTCTGCTGGCATTTCCCTTTTATACAATAGAAAGAGTTGAGTACTTTTCTCTCTTTAAGAAAATGTGCCCTCCATGCAAATCTGTGTAACTAGACAAATATTATTTCCTTTCCCAGCTTGCTCTTGGGAGGTTTCCATATCCTCAGGTAAGATTGTTCATTACTGCTGTTTGCCACTGTGACATTCATTCCTATGTATGAAGGTGCAGAGAGCAATTGTGAACATTTGAGCCACATACAAATAAATCTGTCCTGTTAAATTGAAAAGTACTATCTTGAAGGAGTCATTTAGTAGTCTGTATTGGTTTTATTTTATTTTTCCTTTTTCCCCCCAAACTCCAGATTTTCTCTTCCCTGGAGAGAAGCAAGATTATGATGATGTTAATGATTGTTTTGTTGTGAGATTAAAAAATAATCCCATATGTACAGCACTGCTTTTGATGCCAGGAAGATGCATCTACTCCTTTTTTCTACATTCATTTTTCAGTTCCAATTTTAAATGGTGTTACAACCGCCTCAAATCATCTCAAATCAAAAATATAATGTGAGTGGAATATGTAAAAGGATTCTGGATTCTCCCTTTTAAGAGGAGATATGCTAACATTAACTGGTGTTTGTGTTTATATTCTGACATTTTCTAACTCATAAAACTATTTCCAACTTGGCTATGGCCAATATTACCACTTCTGCTTTGCACGCTTGAAAAAAACACGAAGCTCTGAACAGAACCATCAATCCACAGCTATGTTTGGGGCTTCCTTTAAATCCTTGTTGCGAGATGGGTGTTAGAATTCATAAGCACAAACTATTCTGTAGTTCTTCAAATCGTTCTTTCCTGGGAGAGGGGAAAAAGTGAAGTGTCCAGGGACTCAAATGAATTATTTGAATGTGGTTTTTATGTTTTCTTGTGTTTTATGAGCGCTGCTTTCTGCATCTTGGTCTATACAGATCAGAGTGCCTGGAGGCATGTCTGATTTAAAGGTGGTGTTGGTCTGTGCTCTTTAAGCATCTATTAACTTGCTATTATTATGCAAATAACTGTTGTAATACACATACTAATTTATGCATGGTTAGATTATGCAGATGCCTCACAAACATGGTTATTGAATAATAGGCTGGGACTCATTCTCTCCCATTTTTATAAGCTGTTTTAAGCAAATTCTCCTGACAGTTTTATGGACTTGTAAAGATTTTGTGTACGTGGAAACACACTGATTTCACACTATATCTCCTGTGGAAAACGTTTACTGACCAAAAGAAAGCTGCCGTTGGGTACCCAGCAGATTTTGTCCATATTTTCTCCGTGCTGTGAAAAGCAACCTCTCCTTTGAGAGCGGGCTGAAAAAGCAGCTCTTGTGCTGAAGTGCCCTCCATGCGTTGGCACAGCCTCTGGTGCTCGTTGGGCATCTCAGTGCCCTTTGTGCTAAACCTGAGTGCTGGGGGATGCAGCTCGGGCTGCCCTCTGTGCACAGAGGCACTGGAGCTGGGGAGGGAGGTTGGGGTGCATTGTGGATGGCTGCAGACCAAAACTTGTTTTCTAAACTGGGAGGAGAACATGATTGCTAGTTTAAGATCCTTTTTTTTTTTTTTTCTTTTTTGCTATTCTAATTAAAAAACAGATAGCATTTGTAAAAGAATATTTGGCAAGTCAGTAGGCCATGAAATTGTGTATATTTTTTAATGCAAAACAGTAGAAGAGGTGAAACTTTTAGAATGTAGCTATTAAGGTTTTCAGGCAACTGCTTTTTGTAAGGACTTTATGTGAAGTATCTGCATTTTGGATGCGGGTGCTCATAGCTGGTCCAGAACCCTCAGCACCTCACTGTGACCAGGTGGATGATTGCAGGGTATTGGGTTTATTTCATGTTCCTGTGAATATATAACAGACCTGTTTGTAACTGTCACTGGGTTTGTTGAGGTGGTTGAAGCTGATGGTCCATGGGCTCACAGTGTTTGCCCCCCATCAGCGTGGGCTGGCTTCCCTCTGCCAGCGGGGTGTGTGGCTCTGTGCTGGGGAGCACCTGGAACTGCCCACAAAGGAGCCTTTGCCTCCAGCTGTAGCTGAACAAAAAAGGATTTTTTCCCCTCTATGTTTAAGTTGCAGACAAATGTTGTGTGCAGACCCAGTTTAAATGAACAAGATTTATTCATCATTGTACTGTGGCGATTCAGGACTCCTGCAATATGCCGGCGCAATTAAAGGATGGTTTTTTATGTGGCCTTTAGTAGGATACTTTAAGGATAGAATTCAGCACTTTTCATTTTCCATGTGTTTTATGAGCATCTATTTTGCTAACACTTATTTGTCACGTTGTCATTATTTAATCTTCTGTTAAAGTCGTGTCTGGGAAGCACTTCAGTGAGCAACCAACTGCATATGGAAGGGAAGTTGCTTGTGGGTTTAGAGTTCATTGTAATCTTCGGAATCTAGTTATGGAGTTACTGTCATTTTTAGTCACAATATGCAGTTAATTTCATAATCTGTCAGTAGCTGCCAACGGTGGTGATCTGAGTAAGGAAATGAGGAACAGCAGAGCTTAGAACAGGCTTTCCCACTATGAGAACTCCACAAAGGGAACTCAGATCCTTAAAATGAGGTGACACGTGGCGAGTGCTTGTCACGTCTTGTTGTTTGTTTTCCTGGCACAGTGTAAAATTCCTTTTGGAAGAGGTAGTGTATGAGACTCACAGGACTTTCTGTAGATGCAGACAGATGCACGTAGGGGTATATTCTTCCCCTGGTGCGCAGTTCCATTCAGATAAGTGGAGTGGTGCACACACACACTGGCATGAAAGACTCTTTAGAATAAAGTTATTTCCTGTGGAAGCATTGAAAATTGCAAGGAGAGCCCTTTCCCTGCTGATACCATCGGTGCAGGATTTGAGACATGAAAGCTCCGCTTATAAGAAATAAGTTCCAAATTTCTTGTAAAAGTTTAATCTTAATTCCTCTGATTTTGGTGGCAGCTTATTCATTTCCACAGAAACAGCTGTAAAAAATATATATTCAAATACATATATACATAAAAACAATAGAAGGCCTCGGCACCTCAGAGCAAATGGAATTAAATTGGAAGCTGGAAGCCCCAAGATGTGCAGTGGCTGAGTGCGCTTTGTCGCAGCGTCAGTGTGGTGTGTAAAACATGATGGGGCAATGGCTGGTTTAATGATAATGTAATTTAGGAAAAATGAAAAGAATTGACCACTGAATATTCCCGGCTTGTAGTCCAGCTTTGCACAAAGCAGGATGCTGGAGGACTGCATCCATTAGGGAGATGCTCCGGAGGAACGGGCAGGCGCTGCAGTCAGTGCTGGCTGTCAGATGTGCTGCGTTGAGAGGGATGTTGAGAGCCACTGTTCGGGGCCTGGGTTAATAAATGACAGGAAAATGACCCGAAGTTTATAAACCTGCCCCCCCTCCCATCACACCTCCTGCCCTGCTTCTCCCCCACCCCAAATCTGAGCAAACAGTGCCCCCAGTATTGTAAAGCTTTGAACGTTTTCACACTCCATTAATTTATTACTCCTCTTTCCTCATCTTTAAATTTATCTCCACCCCCCCTTTTTTTTTTTTTCCCTTAAAAAAAAAAAAAAAAAAAAAAAAAACCCGGCTCCCCGCTGCTACAGCGATTTTCATCTTGTTGTTAATTTTCCCTGCTCCATATGGAGCTCCAGACATTTCACCTGGAGGCTGTACTAGATTTTGCTGTAGCGATCGCACTTCCGGAGGCCAAAACTGTCATTTAAGGTTCCCGGTGCATCTGTCTACGCCAGGCTTTTTGCTGGCACCGGAGAGCTGGGATAACAAATTGGATGCACCTGAGATTGGGGTGCGGAGCGCGGAGCCGCGCGTCCAGCGTCGCCCGAGCGCGGGGAGACGGAGAGGAGCAAATATTTCATCCCGCCTTGTCATTGATTAGAAAAGAGCCTTTAATTTCATTTCACCCCATGTTGTGATTAATTTGCATTCTTTGTCAGAAGTTAATGGAGTTTTTTATGGTTCACTCTGAAATCCTTGAAGACATCAGAGTTGATCTGATGTTTATACAACCGCCAGCGGAATTTTTTCGTGTGATTGATGGAGAGCTTGATGTTATTCCAAACGGCTTTTTAAGCTGTTTTTAAGAATTATTTGAATAAAATGCAAGCGAGATATTGTTATAACGATCAAGATTATCTGTTAAAAATCTGTTTCAAATAAAGAACGCGATAAGTAGAAAAAAAAAAGATCAGAAAGAGACGAGGGATGATGGATGCCGGAGATGTATTTCTTAAAATATATCATCCCTGCATTCAAATAACTTCCTGCAAAAGGCACCGAAAGTCACACGAACCTTCACTGAAGGACTGTTTGGGAGAAGCAGAGTTTTGCAGCCCGATGCAGAGCTGTGAGGAAGGAGCTGAGCCGCGCTCGGGTTTTTCCCCTCTTGTTTTCCCTGGCATCGGCACGGAGCCGCGTTCCCGCTCGGAGCCGACGGGCCGATGACTGAGAGCCATCCTTAATTCCCACTGCAAACAAACCTAAGTGGATAATAGGAGGTTTTATAGCCCGAGCGAGCGCTGCGCACGTGCCTGTATAAGGAAATATACAGCCTTTATAAGAAAATACACGGCTGAAAAGGCTCAGTGCGTGCCGTTCTGTGCTCCTCCCGTTGGGGAGAGCTCTGTACTTCTCCAGTGCCCAACGCACGGACGGCGCTGGGCCGCAGCACAGCCCCACTCCGGGCTTCCAGCAGCAAGAGATCTCCCATCTCTGTTAGCATGTTTCATTGCTGGTGGTGTTTTTTAAGGAGGGGGGGAGGTGGTTCTTTTTATTCTTTTTTTCCTTGCCTGATTTTGTGTTCCGCCCTCGCTGTGATTTCTGCAATAAGATTTAATTGTAGGTCAAAAAAAAAACCAGCACCGAACCAACCAAGCGCCTGTGAGCGCTCCCATTTCAAACAGCTTCATTTGTTTGCTGTGTCTCAGCTTGCGAAATAATTGCGTGGCTTTAAGTGGAGCTGCAGCTTTCTGAGCCCTCTATGAGCACAGCCTGAGATTCTTTTTGTTATATGCAATCCATACTGTTGACCAAATTTGGCCTGGTTTCATTGAAATGTAAGCAGGTTGTCAGGGAAAAAAATACTTGGTTTAAGTTGGCATGCAAA